TATAGGTATCTGAGATCCGTGAGTCGATCAAAAAAGCGCATCGCCTCGCCTAATACTTAATGTAAAAACAGACGTTTCCTGATGCACTTTTTTAGACTTATCTAAAAATTACTATATTATTTTTATTTAATACGAGCCAACAGAGATATCTCGAGTAGCGGAGTTCTCGAATCTTGAGAAGTTTTCTTTCTTTCCCAGCAAAATTTCAGATTCTCAAAAAATTGCTCGATCGTCCCCAGGTTTAATCGATTTTAGCAAAACTTTTCTTATCAATGTGTAATTCATAGATACCTGCAATCATTCTGACTCCTATACACCCCTAAGATCACATAAAGTACAAGATATCTTTGTCATTCACTGACAAAGAAAAATGCATATTTTCACCATGATTCTATTTTATGAACTAGTTTTTGGAATAATCGTACAGAACAGTTCGAATTTTTTATTAAATAAAATGGACATCACAAATACTCTTACAAAGTAACACATTCGAAATGATAAAAAGAACAATATATTGGACTGCCAAATTCTTTGAATTTTATTTTATTGATGTGCATTTTTTGTCACTCAGGCCTATTTCTCTTTCTTGATCAACATTAAAACAGAAAATATACAAGAAACAGTCCTGCATATTATCCTTTTATATCTCATTAAAGGATTTTTTGTGCATTAAACCAGAAAGTGTTACTTATAAGCATACTTGACATATTCATACTATTGAATAAAAACTTCGAACAGTTCTTTACCATTGCTACAAAAACCAGTTCATCCCATAGACATATTACTGAAATATAAAGTTTTCTTTCTGGTCAATGACTTTCTGGACATTTTATACTTTTAATTCAAATAATTGTTCATAAAGTAGAGCCCTGCGGTTCCAAAAAAAATGGAACCGAGAACCGAACCGGGAACCGGTTTTTTCAATTTCTATTACCCGGAACCGGAACCGGAACCGTGAAAAAAAGGGAATGGAACCGGAACCGGAACCGTTGGAACCGAACTTTTTTAATAATAGCTAAGAAATTATTCAAATGCAACATAATAATATGTGGACACAGGTTATGACCTGTGTAGTGATGCATTTTGTGCATTTCTCATGCTCATATTTAAAACCACAGGCGGCGCACCAGCAATGCAATAGTTAGCAATTGCTACCCCTAAAATAAATTATTGGAAGCAATAAGAACTTAAGGGTGGGGTGTTGCTGTGACTGTAAGTGAGACTACATGTATTTCTGCAGCCACTGATACCCACACCAACACCTACTCACACCCACATCCACATCGACACCCTAATGATTCCGAAGAAAATGATGAAGTCGATTTATTTTAAAACTTTGTAATATTAATAATTTCATGTGAACATATTTTATAATAGTATGTTTTCTCATTCTTTCATCTTTCATCGTATTTTTTCAAATTTTTTATGAAATAATAAACATGAACAATCTCAAAAAAGGCATACAGAAATTATAAAATATCTTACTCAATATTTTCTATATCAATGTAAAAACACCGGTTCCTAAAACAAATTTTGGGAACCGACATTGGAACCGCTTTTTTTCGATTTTGGGAACCGGAACCGAACCGGAACCGACGGTTCCGGTTCGGTTCCCGGGTAATTATAGGAACCGCAGGGCACTATCATAAAGTCAATTAAAGGGAATTCTACAAAAAAGTGAATAACTATCATTTATATAAATCTAACAGGATGAGGAAAATGAATAATAGTTGAATAAATAATTCAGCATGTCAGTAACACAAAACACGTTTGAATTCTATCCTAATTCGACAGGTCTTTGCTGATGATAGTAGGCGTATTCACTAGAAACTTCAAAAGAAAAACTTCTCTTTCTGCTAAATTTATGTACATGATAGTTATTTAATTGGATCTCATTATCTATCTTTGTATGTGTGCGAATCTACTCTAATATCTCTTGAATAAAAACTGTATAGTAAACAGGCGAGTAACTCGCCAAATTCTTTCTCACCTCGTCCTCACCTCGAGAGTGTGATTGTGGGTATGGAATTTTGTGCTGAAAAGGCCCACATCCCTATATCAATGGGTTTCAAGATTTGAATAAATTTGGTGTAACGTGATGGATATCTAACTCTATACTGATATATCTTCGGTGGTCACGATAAAGATGCAAAGCTCTAAAGGTAGATCTTATATTGATATGCCAAACACTACCGTGGGAAACTCGCACCTCTACTGAGTTGCTGATTTTGAATGACTTTCGTGCAATAGGATGGATACCCAATTCGATACCCATATATGAGTTTCAAGCTAGGCATCTAATTCGATGAATATCGTGACTTGTAGCTGGTCGATACCCATGATATGGATATTATGACATCTCTGGTTGTTTAGAGCCATCATAAACGCACCATTTCAGTATACTACAGCGATCATAAACAATCGCCATAAAAATTGTCACTAGCGACTAGTGTTATAATATGTTCATTGTAAGTGACATTTTCCTACTATCATAAAGCATTGCATACATCAACTATAAACGGTCTATTCAATAATTATCGTTTTCAATCATCATTTATCCTTAAAATATTGTTAACATTACTGATCTGCATTAGCTCAATAGAATTCAATATAGTGAATTGATTGAAACTGTATTATAGACTATTCTTGCACGGTATATATGTCATTCAACTCCACATCTGGCTAATATGATAAAACATTTAGGCATACTTGTATTAATCCAAGGATAAAGATGTAAGGCTATAGGTTATAGAAAATCGATAGAAGGTTTTAATATTGGTCACCGTTTTGGTTCATTACAGTCGTGTCTGGTTTTTTAAAACGTGGAATTGTAGCTGTAAATAGTGATGTATACTACTGTGGTGACCAGCGTAACAACTGTTTTCGGGATAGAGATACCATTGTAAACTATGCACGCATATCGCCGTACTCGATACGACAATGTAAGACGTTACTACTGTTCTACCAAAAGAATTATGATATGGCTCATCTACGGTCAAATGTTCGCCATTTATCCCGTTGGTACATAAGTTCTGCACGTTTAGATCAGTAGAATTATATTGCCAATATAAAACTACATTTTAAGAAAAGTAATTATATATTCTGATAGAGTTTAGAATTCTGTATTACCCTGTGTATTTAAGTCTTGGCTTGCATTTATTTTCTGGAAAATATTTCGAGTACAGTAAAGATACCCTCATCTGCATTGACAATTTTCGAAATACTTCTCGGCAAATAAGTTCAAGCCAAGATCTGAATGTACAGGGTGATAAAGAATTCTGAGCATTATCAGAATACATAACTAATTTCCTTTAAATGTAGTTTTATATTGACAATATAATTCTACTGATTCAAACGTGTTCAACTTATGTACCAGCGGGATATGTGCATTTAAGCCATCATAAACGTCAATATACAACCAGTTACGATCATTATACTATTCAACCTGAATAACTCAGTTTTTGTACTAATAATCCATGTCGCCTCTTGTTTTACAACTGCGATGCATTAATCGTAGCAAAAATCTCTGTCAGAGATTACGATTACTATGATGCAGATAAGCGAAAGTGGTCCTCAGCACTCGTATCGTACAACCCTATGCACCTGCTGTAAACCACTGATAAACGGTTTTGGCGTTCTTACAATTGGTCACACTCTCACGCTAAGATCTAGCTACACGCCGGCCATGTAAAAGGAAGCCTTCATGATAGTATGGTTCATAATTCATCCTTCTACAACCGATAGAGTATGCCAACTCAATTTAGATTGTTAGGATGAAAACGCTATCTGCACAGTTTTTGGGGCACGCGAAATCGAATCCGAGGTCCAATTTTTATTTTTATTTTTTTATTATGAATTTGTTAGTTTTAATTTTTTAATTTAAGTTTTTTTTGTATTTTAATATCTTTTTTAGTTTTTTATTCTAAAGCTTTTTTTGATGTTTTTTATTTTAATCTTTTCGTTTCATTTTTTCCCTTTTCTTTCAATTTTTTTAATTTTGATTTTTCCACTTTAATTTTCTTATTTTACATTGATTTTTTGAATTTTTGTCATTTTAGTTTTTTCCACGTCTGTATTTTAATTTTTAAACTTTTTAATCAGTCTTTCATTTTTTTTATTACTAATTACTAAGAATTCATAGTAAAAATATCAAAATAAAAAATTTAACTGCGGATTTGGATTGCTAACTAATGATTTTTTATGATCTGCATCGCAGCTCGATCCTATTCGAAGACATGGGAATCTTCCTAATTTTCATCAAATTGAACTACTATGTGAAATCAGAAATAATGCTCCGTTTCAAAATCATGTATTAAAAGAAATTCGTCTTTACCTGAGGCCCTGCTAGCGACCAAGAGTATCACGATGAACGAAAAAATAGACATTATCATGTGACTTCAGAATCTACTCAATTGTCAAGAAAATGAATATTTTCAACGATGTGAGTTGTGTCTTTATATGCCATTCTGCTTTTTCATATATTATCCATATAGCACACGAGTTAAATCAATAAAACTCGTCGCTTGTAATTCTATAGCATACATTTTCAGCCATAACTTTTACCGTAATCTGATCTTCAAAATAGATTTTATCACGTCGTTTACAGTTATTGACGTCAGAGAAGAATAATTTTCAAAAAGATAAAAGTCAGGTATTTGTTCCCTGTAGTGCCCGCATAGGAATGATTATATGCTGTCTTCCAGGATCCTCCAATAGATCTATTCTATACCATGTATGATAAAAACTGTTTAAAGAATTTTCTTGAATAGTTACTAATCGAATTCTTTCCTGCTGAAATGAGTTACGTGAATTTCAGCCCAGACTTTCGGCCCAAGGTTAAGTTCCACTTATTAAAGTCCTTAAAAAGTCGAAATCTGACGAAAAGTTGGTACAGTCCATTGCACATAGTGACATGTGTTTTTAGTAAAGTGTAGTACTCAGCAGGACGCATACTGCTGAGCAGAACGCCATAGTGCCCACCCAGTTGGCGTAGTGTTGAAGAAGACTTCAAAGCACTTAGAAGACGGCTTTGATGTTTATAAGAAGTGGTGTAGTCGTTTGGAATAATTATTACTTGTATGAAATGAGTGTCGACGTAAAAGGGAAGTGCTGAATAGGACTATTCGATTACAGGAATTTCGATTCACAGAATTTTCAACCGGAACTTTCGGCTCTTGATGGAATCAATCTCATTGAACCCTAAAATAACAGAACCTAATTTGTTGAGTTAGTTGCTAAATATCCTCATGCTGAGCAGAACGTTGTAATGGGTAAGTGTGCCAATGAAGAGAAGACTTAGATCCAGACCACAAACTCTCACCCACATCCCACGACTGCTATATGTCAGTGACTTAGAAGCATATGATTTTATTCGTAAATTAAAGATGTGGATGCTACAATTAAACTTTGGAAGCTGTTTCACTCTCTATTTCTAACTCTAGGAAAAATCATAAGTATAATTGTTGTTTTTTCATGTTTATAGTTAAATCACATCAGGCATTATTTGAATTGTAAATTATCATACTATCTGCTACTCGTGACCTTGACGGTATGCATTGATTATAATGATGAAATGTCTCATCGTGATGATTATTTATATGTAATCTTGTTTTATTTCAATGCCAATTTCAAATTTCTTATAGAGTAGATAAATACGATAGTTTGATTTTTATGCTAATTTTCATTCCAATACTGGCCAAGCCCAAGAACTCTGAAATAGCTTCATAGTGGTAATTAGGTCTTTTGCAATCCTTTGTCGCTATATACATTATCTAATAAGTTTTGAACGTTTTCGAGCAATATCCTTTTCTCACATGTTGTATCAGTAGAATAGGTCAATATCTGCAACATATATACTATACATTTAGATCTATTGAAGGCTAGAATTTGAGCTTCTTACTTCTTAAAGTCACAGAGATATAACTAACAAAAAAATCCTGAGAAATTGTTAAAGTTATTTGTGCGGATTTTTCTATCATTGTATCACGAATATTAAGTAAGCACTAGTCGATAGAACGAGATTTACAAATTGATAATGATTAAACATTAAAAAAGGAAAATGTATGTCAACGTTTATATATCTACTCTCTATCTTGATTCATTACTTGTTTCAATCGACTCAGTAACTTTTTTTGTCATTTGTTCACATTTTACTACGGTGAGCATTTTTCATTTTTGTACTACTGAGTTTTTCAATGATGATTCCTTTTCAAACCTTTATTCTCTCAAATTTTCCTTAACTATACCCCAAACTGTCTCATATTTTCAAATATCAGCAGATTTTGTATCATCAACTTCAAATTTAATACGCTCGTCAAACAAAGGACTTAACAGTATTCATCACAATTTTGTTCGATGTTTGCTATTCTGATCATTTTGATAGATTGGGGGTGGAGTGTGGGTGTGGGTGTGGGTGTGGGGTATGGGTGTGGGGTGTGGGTAGTGTGAGTTAGTGTGGGATGTGGGTGGAAGAAATACTAATATCCAAACCCACACACCCACACCCACACACACACACACCCACACCCACACCCACCCACACCCACACACCCACACCCGCTACCCACACCCACACCCATACCCACACCCACACCCGCACCCACACCCCACACCCACACCCACACACCCACACCCTCAAAATGAAAAATTAAAAGAAAATCCTGAACCAAAATGTGATTATGTTACATCAAAAGAAGAATTCGCTGAAATAGTACGACAAGATTAGGATTGTCATTTTGCAACAATTAGTCGAAAACTTGTTATGTTCACTTGTGAAACAGTTGCGGGTCTTAAATTAATTACTAAAGTAAATGGAAGAAACAAAAAAGTATTTAAAAAACAAAATATTTTATTTATCTTCTTCTAGCGTCATATTATTATTTTAATACGAGAAAAATTGAATACAATATCACGCTGGTGGAAACAAAGAAAAAATGTTCAAAACGTTAATTTATTTATTGTTGATGATTTACATGTTATTGGTTCAGATCATGGAGTAAGTTATATAAAATGATCAAATTTTGAAAAAGAGGTTTTGATTTTCATGTCAGAAAGAACAATCGATTTTGATTATATGGTCTTCAAGAAGAAACACAAGTCTGTAAGACTGGTTAAATATTATGTCATCCTGTTTTCTTGATTTGTGTGAACCTTTTCTATAGTAGAGAATTTAGGCTTGCAGTCTTTAAGTAACCTTGAATACTGTTTTCTTTGAGTTACGTTATTTAAGAAATACTGGAGTCTTTTGAACTCTGATCATTCTTTCCGACCTCCGTTATGTAATTTCTACCATTGTATGCTGTTATTTGGTTCTATGTTGTTTTAAATACAAATAACGGT